TGCAGACAAAAACTACTCCTTAACAGGCGAGGTGTGACCTATAAGTCTAGACATCACATTTGCCATCGACTTTTATTTTAAGTTTGTATAAAATTGAAAAATTTAATTTACCTCAATTTTTTGATTATTGGTGCAAAAAGCTAAAGCACACGTTTAACGAAAGATGTTTCATTAAAATAATCCCAGTATTTTTTGATCAAAATGTTTATATAAGTTTACAAAAAACATATAAAATCATTTAAGCACAAGATTAAAAATCGGCCATTACGCAATCAGTTTGTATCAGCATTTTAAAATGTTTTTTATTTGCTTTTCAAAGAAATGGGTTAAGGTCATTCTTCACTTTACATCTTGAATGCTTTTTCGCATCGTACAATGAACACAGAGAATACTCTTTTTTTTTTTAGTTTTACCAAATTTTGTTAAGTCTTTTTTTCGCTTGTTTGATGATTTTCGGAAACGGAAATTTTCAATGTGAAACGGAGAAGAAGTGATTTTCTATTTTTTTTTTGTTTTTTAATTAATATCGGTAAAGAAATCACAAAAAGATATCTTTGTTTTTGGAAATATTTTGTTTTTCTTGAGCGTTAATAGTGACTATTGTAATTTGTTTGTTGTGAAGGCTTTAAAGTTTTTAATAATAAAATTTATATTGCAAAAATTATTTTTTTAAATTTTTTTAGTAATAAATTTTTCTCTTTTTATGGTTTTTACGAAGGTAAACGAGCAAAATAACCTTAATGCAGCAGTAGCGATATTCTTATGAGAAACCTTAATAGAATGCGGTAGGCGCTACGATGGTACTTGATGATGAAGACTGCTTATTTAATCTTGCAAAGCAAGTCATTAATAGCTTTGTTTCTATAGCTATTTAGTGGCCTGACTAAAGTTATTTTCTTGAAATCTCTGCCTAAATGTCTTGCTGAAGATGTTACCTGTATTCAACTTAGTTCAGCGTAGGTCAGCTTAGTTCAGCTTAGTTCACCTTACTTAGGCTACCTGCCTCCACATCTAATAAGGTTCTTTTACCAATTTTTGAAAAAGAGAATGGTAATGCCCCGAGTGGGCATCGTAGTATTGCGATTAAAAACAATGGTCGCGGGTACAAATCTCAAGTCCGGTAGAATTTTTAATGCAGGCTAGCATGTGATCTGAGTTATTTTGCAGTCTTTGAAACCATACTTTGTGATATTTCCAGCTTCCTAGGAAATTCGTCAAAACCTATTTTTTTTCTCAAGGACTTCTCGAGACGAAGCCTGGCGATTGTTAGGCTGCAAAGTTAGTTCCTCCGAATGAATAAAGCACACCTGCAACGATTTAAATTTGCTTCAAACAATCTTCTTTCACATTCCTAATCGCTTCGCTTTTTCTCCACCTCGCTCCAATTTATCTTTAAACGGTCTATACGGATTTAATTTTGAAATTATTTTAACCATTTCACCAATTTGCTCAACCTCTAATGGGCTTTTCGAGATTGCTCTTAGTCAAATATGACGGTCAATGAAAAAACCAAGTAAACTACCGCATGTGATCGGTTCTTCCAGCCGTCTTCATTTCCCTTGCCGCATATATGTCGAACCTTTCACGCAGTTTAGCTGCCCTTTCTCTCATTTTCGCTATCTCTCGTTATACCTTGATAGCTATCGACCATTTAATTAATCATACATTTAACTAACACACATTTAAATATGGTTCAATTGTGTGGTCTCCCCCCTATAAGCGTTGTGCAGATTCAATTGAATCAGTTCAAAAGCAATTCTTGTGTCTTTGCCTCGTTATGTAAATAAGTTAATTCTGGTATCCTTACTGTCTTTAGAGGAATATATATTCATTCTTGGTGTCTCCTTCTTAATTAAATTAACTATCGGTACTATGAATTCGCCCAAGTTACTTGGCGAGATAAGCTTTAATGTAACTATCTGCTTCTCTGGGCAATTTATGTTCATTAAGCTGAGTCAATATAAATAACATTATGAGCGCTTAACCCGTTTAGAGTCATTTGCAGAAAATTAAATGATGTCTGTCTTATCTTAATCTCTATATCGAATTCTTTGAAGTCTATCAAAACATCTTTGCTTAATACGCGCGATTTGCCTATGTCGTATTTAAACCAACTTTTAATCTGAACATCTCGTTATGATTCGAAAATTAATTGGTGTTGTTTATTGTATCAGTTGCCAAGCTTTTGCTTCTTTGCAATGGCTTAGGGGTTCATTTGCAATTTGATTCTGTAGTGGTTGTGGGTGTTCCTATGTGCTTGTTGTGTACATGCTTTATTATTATTTTTTTACTTCCTCTTATATACTTTATATTAGTTTTTAATATTAATTAGAGTAAGATTTACTTCTAAGAGTCAATTGAACTCGATTGTTAATTTGTTTTAGTTGAGCTTCATGTGTAAGTAAATAAAATAAATAAATAAAAAAAATAAATAAATAAAAATAAATAAAAAATAAAATAAGATAACTTCAATAGTACCCAAACTGATTGATCAAGCTAAAGATGATTGACGCTTACAAAATTTGGAAATTATTCCGTCTAACAAGTCAATGCTCGCGGGTTCAAATCTCAAGTGCGATGGAGTTTTTTATACACGGTAGCATATAAGTGAAACATATATATATATATGTATATATATATATATATATATGCACATATGTATATACATATATATATATGCACATATGTATATACATATATATGCACATATGTATATATATATATATATGCACATATGTATATATGCACATATGTATATATATGCAGATATGTATATATATGTATATATATGCAGATATGTATATATATGTATATATATAAATTTGAATTTCATCGCCTGAAGAAGCTTACTTCCCAATATAAAGAATATAATGCCCTCGTGCTAATAGGATGTAGAAATACGAGGATGGAAAGTAAAGCACTTCAATACTTCAGATTAGGTCAATTCAACGTCATTCTCAACAACTGAACATTCCCACGACCGATATTGTATAGAAATGCTTATATAAGAAAGCGTTGGCTTTGTGAAGTGAATACTTCTGCTTATATCCATTATTTTGCTTATATTTTGTATTTTTAACTTACACACAAAATCTAAAAAAAAAGTATATTTTTCTAGTTGTTAAGCTTTTCTTTTGCGCGAATCATTTTAACTAAATCTTCGTAATTCTTCCAATTAAGTGTGAATAGAAAGACCTCGCTTGGAATAGACGGATGGCATTTAAGGCCAACCGAGGAATATTATTAATTGTTCCTGCAAAATGAACGTCTACAATATAATTAATATAAGATAAAATGCTGTGTAATAACCTTATAAGTTCACTTAATATTTTATTATTAGCAAAAGTAATTAAATAAATAAAATGATTTAGTCAATTTTTTTCATTAAGGTTTTAAAGTGGTTAAAGTAAAATGAAAAAACCAATTATAATTAAAATAAAAGCAGAAATAAATTAATCAAAGAAATTTTCCAAGGTTTATAAAGGGTCTTTCATTAGAGTGATACTCTTAAAACTTAGGAAAAAAAATCGAAATCTATTAAAGTAAATTATGCTGTAATGTAAAACTTAGACGTTGCAGTTGTGTTCTGAATAAAATATCGTTCAAATGTCTGCCACAGCTTTGAATACACTTACGCACATCACGGCCCCAATTCTTAATCATTTTGCTCAACATTAGCACGCTGACGAATGTTCGCCTCCGAACGTTCCAGAGTTTATAGGTTGTCAACATAGGCCACGGCTTTGATGTACCTCTGTAAGGAAAGACATCCGTGGGCGTCAAATTACACAACCGCGGCGGCCTGAAATAAAATGAAAAAAACAATGATGACGATCTAATTCTCTGTTGAACAAACGATGAGCAACCACAATTGAGTCACTGTATAATGAGACAGCATTGAACACGATATTTTCTCACGTGGAAGCACGCAAAAATTAATACATTTGACACTGGAAGTTACAATCTTAAAAAGTACCACTTTTAACGAAAGACTCCTTATAATCTTTTCAATACAAGGGATTTCTAATAACAGATAGTTCACGACGTTCTGCATTCCCAACACTTGTCTGCTTTATTTGGGCTGTCCAAGTTTTAATATGTGGTGATGAAAATTGACCCATAGTATTGTAGCAACTACATACAAAAACGAACTCTACAAAATAAGGACCATCTACGCCTATTGCTGGGCACTGCCCTATATAACGCTGAAACTTGGACTACATTAGGTTATTGTTCGGGCCCACTTCCCCATAAATATGCATTTGAAAAATTGGTCTTTATATAGAAACAAGATATAGTTTTTGTGTTCTAGAATAAAAATAAGAATTGCGGTAGATAATGTAGTGTAGGATATTTAACGGCCTCCCTTGCCTGACTATAATGTTCTTATTTGTTTTTGTCGAGAAATTTTGAAAATTGTATTTTTTTTTTCACGTATATATATATATAAAAATGGGATCTTGGATGTTAATGAACGCAATTGCATTAAAATATATCCAATATTTGAGTTCTGAGATATGAAAACATGGACTGGAATCGGTTCAAAAAACGAATTCGAATTAATCATCAGCTTTATTTCGAGTACTTCATTGGGTTGCATGCAATCACACAAAGTGATTATCCTTCTTTGCCAAAAATGTTGCGGACAATAAAATAAGACTTCGAAAATCAATTTACCATTTATGGTGTAGTGGCGATAAATTATTCCCAGAGAAAAAGATTATTCTTATTTTATAAATTTAATAACAAATGTAAGGATTGCTATCAACCCGTGCAAGCCCGGGTAGCTCAGTCGGT